AAAGAAAAGACTGGAAACGAAGAGGGGAGCTGGCATACTTTGTAGCATTGGAACCAGCAGAGCAGAGGTGCACAGAACAACATGGGTGGGTCTTGAAAACAGGCAGGGCTGAGTGGAAAAAAAAAACACAGGAAACATAACACAATGCCATTTATATCAATTAAAAATACATGCCTAAACCGACAATGTGTGTCTCACAAAAACATATACAGATAGAACACGTATAGACACACATTAGAGTGGTGGGATGTGGGACCAGAGGAAAGAAGCAAGAGAGGAGTGGGGAGAGGAGTGGCTTTGTGGGGATTAATGATCATTATGTGTCTTGAACTGAGTGTGGACAGAGAGAGGGAGAGACAGCAAAACAGCTAATGCCACCTGGGCATTAAAAATTCTCAACTTCATGCTTCAGAGAGAACGAGTCCACGTCTGATCATTATCAAAATCCTGATTTCACAGCAAAATAGGATTGCTGTGGACTGAGTAAAACCTTAGACAGCAAAGACAAGGGGTTGTCATCAGCTTAGCACACTAAGAACCCAGCGCAGTTCCTGGGCAGAGCAGGCACTCAGAGCTGAGTACTATGCTGCTGAAACAGCCACTGAGAAACATGTGACAAGTAGTGTGCTGAAAAGGTGGAAGCAAAGACTGATCATTTAGCTCCTCTGAGGGCCTCCTACAGAGTTAAATATTTACTGCCAGTGATCAGATTAAATAATAGCCCACTACGATAATTGGACTTTTCCCTTCCCCAGCCCTCCTCCTCTGCAAGAATCATCCGCAACTCAGCAACTTAGCCTCATTGCTCACAAAAGACCAATAGCCTCCTATCCACCCCTGGGGGCCTCCACAGCTCAGCTCCTCATGCAGGGCTGGGTCCTGTCTGAAATCAAGTGCAAAGGCTCCTGCATGCATATTTTCCTAGAGACATGGTCAGTGGCCTTCATTTGATTTTCCAAGGGGGTCTGTGACCAGCCCCTCCAAAGTTAAAAATCACTGTTTTAAAAAGAATCCATATGATGTCCTCTTCTCTCTATTCTGTATGTTTGAGATTTCCTACAGTTAAATAATAATTTTCCTAATAAGAAAACGACTGCATATGATCTAAGAAGAGTGTAAAGGTGACCGACCACCTGAGAAGAGAAGGGCAAGGACTGAGCCTTGAGCTGACAGCACAGTGGCAGTCAGAAACAGTGCATGATGACACTGACACATGGGAAGCTGTCCCAGGAGAATTCTGGTCTTCCCTCATTCAAGTTGCCAGGGGTATGGAAACTCCCTTTAAAATTCACCAGGTCCCCTGCTTCAGGCTGTAATGGACATTATGGGCCCCTTCCCACTCCTGTCCAACCCCACTCTGCCCCACTGAACTGCCACCCTACAGTGTGGAGTACAGTCCTGAGGTGGGAGAGAGCAAGATGACCTAACCCCCAGCTCCCAGTGTGGGCCCAGATTGGGTTCATCCCTGCTCCCACCTAGACCCAAGCCTATTGGAATTTGCAGAGTCAGGCCAAAGGGACTGGATAAGGTTTGGATGTGGGACACAATTCAGGCTGATGGGACATAACGGGAGGTGTAAGGGACACATCTGGAAAAGTTTTCACTCCTCTGAGAAAGTTATCAGAAGCTTCACAAAGTGAAGCTTTTGGATTTCAGCCCAACTCTATTGTATCCAACCTACCCCACTGGGGACACCAGGCGTATGATCAAGTGAACACCGAAGAAAGCAGCAGAATTGCAAAATTCAGAGAAAATTGATGGCACTGTTAAACTCCAAGGTCAAACTGACTCTAGAAACTGGCTCTAGTTCTGATCCTTTCGGTTATCTGAACCAAGAAATAAAGCCTCTCACCCAGGTGGAGTTGGTCTCCAATAGTTATGAAGGAGAAACCACTTCTGTCAAATCCTAACTAATGCAGAGAGGATGTTGGGGTTAAAACCTCTAATATAGCCCTGGCCAGTGTGGCTCAGTTGGTTGGAGCATCATCCCATAAACCAGGTCACAGGTTTGATTCCTGGTCCGAGCACATGCCTAGGTTGCAGGTTTGGTCCCCAGCAGGAGCAACAAGAGGCAACCAATTGATATTTCTCTCTGTCATGGATGTTTCTCTCCCTCTCTCTCTCCTTCCCTTCCCCTCTCTCTGAAATCAATAGGCACGTCCTCAGGTGAAGACTGAAAAAAGAATCTCTAATTTGACCCTTTCCCAACAGCCACAACAAAATGAACTAAAAACATTAAACGAAGGTGTACTGAGCACACATATACCAGGTACTCTGCAGAGGGTTGGTGCACTATCAAACATTTATTTTAAAAGCTGAGAGTTGTTGCACTGTAAAATCTTTATTTGAAAAGCACAACAATAATGACAGGTAAATAACCAGACTGAGAGAAATGGGACCCAACTATGTGATGAGTGACTTGGCTGGAAGACTTATGACTTTTTCTAATCTAAATATTTTATCATCGTGTAAAAAAAAAACTGTCCCCATGACCAACCTTACACAAAATGATTCTTTTTCACTGAAATGACTTAAAAGTAACACATTAGTGAATAAGACTCACTAATAGAGAACTACATATAATTTAAATGCAAATGACCATCATCAGAAGGAAAGTCATAATCTTTCTATTTCTGAACAGTTGTTTTTATCCTAAGCTGCACCCACAATGGATGAGTTAAAATTTTCTCTCAAGAAAGTATTTAAGTTGGGTTCATAATAAAAACTCCTTCTTAATACCCACTTTGGCTTCACTGTAAAACTGCTGTGGCAGACAAGTCCTGAATTTAATCTTCAGTTGGTTGGGGGGTTCCTTATTTTGTTTGTTTGTTTTTTTCATCTTGGGAACCTCTCTATTCTGAGCACTTTTTATTTAAAAATTTTTCAGCTACAGTTGGTATACAATATTATATTAGTTTCAGGTGTACAACATAATAATTAGACATTTATGTAACTTATGTAGTGATCACCCCCAATAAGTCTAGTACTCTTCTGAGACTATACATAGTTATTACAATATTATTGACTATATTTCCTATAAAGTTGTATTTTACATCCCTGTGACTGTTTTTATTACTGGCAATTTGTACATTTTAATCCCTTTCACCTTTTTCACTCATTTCCCCATCCCCACCCAGCACACCAGGCAACCATCATTCTATTCTCCATATCTATGAGTTTGTTTCTATTTTGTTTGTTCACTGTTTTTTTTTTTTTTAAGATTCTATACATAAGTTAAATCATATGGTATTTGTCTTTCTCTAAGGTGTCTCGTGTGGGTCTCTTTAGGCTCATCTTGTTTGGGACTCTCTGAACTTCCTGGACTTACATGTCCATTTCCCTTAACAGGTTAGGGAAGTTTTCAGTCATTATTTCTTCAAAGAGGTTTTCAATCCCTTGCTCTCTTTCTTCTCATTCTGATACCCCTATGATGCCAATGTTAATATATGTGATGTTCCAGAGGCCCCTTAGACTATTCTCCCTTTTTTAAAATTCCTTTTTCTTTTTGCTGTACAGAATGGGTGTTTTCCACTACCTTGTCTTATAGATCACTGACTTGATCTTCTGCTACATCTAATCTGATGTTGATTCCCTCTAACCTAATGTTGATTCCCTCTAACCTAGTCTTCATTTCAGTTATATTCTTTGTTTCTGACTGGTTCTTTTTTATGGTTTCTCTTTGTTGAGAAACAGAGAGAAACAGGCCTCTGCTCATTTGGGGTTTGTGTACATCTGAGAGATTTTAGGAAAGTCCTCAGCATAAGCTAAGTCAGACCACTTGTATGGAAAAGCCCCTGGAAGTGGCTTGGGCAGGGCGCATGAGTTGGGTGGGGTGGGGTCTTAGGGATTCACCAGGGTGGGGCTAACAGTGGTAGCCAGGTTAATGGAGAACTCAGATTTGGCACCTGCCGTCTGGTAGGAGATGGGCTCAACAAAAAAGTAATGGCGCCTGCTAGTACTTTTGTCCCCAGAGAAAGCTGCCCTAAGCTCTTCCCCTACATCCCTCACCCTGAAGCTAGTTAATTCAGTTCCTCCCCATATGCCCCTGGTGCTCTTCGAACCGCTGCTCCCACACTGAGGCCCAGGTCAAGTGCATGTGTGAGTAAATGAGTATGTGAGCAAGGGAACACGTGCTTAGGTCCCCTCAAAAGGAACACCTTGGTCTCCCACAGCCCTCCATCCTCACTCAAATGGAGTCCCTTTTGGTCTTCACAGCTAGATGTCACAGGGACTCCTTGTCTCTGAACTGATGGTCCAGGATGGGGAACCTGATATGGCTCTGTGGCCCCTCACTCCTCAGGGGGGACGTCTGCAACCAAGATAACCCTCCTGATTCTTAATCACTATACTCTCAGTGTGGGACCTGCCCTTTCCATGTCTCTACCCCTCCCAGCAGTCTTGATGTGGCTTCCTCTGTATATCCTTAGTTTATAGGACTTCTGTTCAGCTAGTCTTCAGGTAGTTCTTCAGTGACGATGGTTCTTTTAATTTAGTTGTGATTTTGAGGCAGTCGTGGGAAGAGGTCAGAACAGCATTTACCAATTCCACTATCTTTACCAGAATTGTCATGAGTATTTTTGGATCACCTGACAATGACCTAGATTCCAAATGCTGCAAACCCCACTTTCTAATGGATTCCATCTCTTTCTGGTTTAGACAGCTACCTTATTAGGCAGGTTTTCTGGGTATTTTCTTGTAATCACTAAAAATAATTATTAGCATTTGTTAAGCACTACTATGCACCAGATACTGCAGAAATGTTATCACAAATCCTTGCAACAAACATGCAAAATAAGGAGTTTTTTCCAGTTTATAGATATAGAACTGAGGCCCAAGGTCTCAGCTGGCCAATGGGAAAGCTAACTTCAAACCTGAGCTGACTTCACCACCTAAGTCTCTCCTGGCACACAGAGCATGCAAACAAAACACACATGCGTGGAGCAGCCCAGGTAAACACCAACATGCCTGCATTGAGTAGTGCAGCTATAAACACAACGCACCTGCATTGAGCAGCACTTTGACACAGTCCAGATGCTCCCGGGCACAAGCAACGTGCAGGGGGGTCCCAAAATGGCAATCGTGTGCTTCCAAATTGGCCCCAACATCAATGAGAAGCCTCACACACTCGGAACTTCCTTAAGAGAAATGGAAAAGAATGAAAATTGTCATTTGACTACATACCAGCGATTTTCAATTCTTTTCATCTCATGGCACACATAAACTAATTATTAAAATTCTGTAGCACACCAAAATATATATATTTTACTGATCTGTCAAAAAAAATAGGTATAATTGTGATTGATTTACAAAAAATAATAGTAATTATCTTCCCTTTTTAAAAAAAAGATTTTATTTATTTATTTTTAGATAGAGGGAAAGGGAGGGAGAAAGAAAGGTAGCAAAACATCTATTGTTTTCCTCTTACACATGCCTTAACCAGGGACTGGGCCTGTAACCCAGGCCTGTGCCCTGACCGGGCATCAAACCAGCAACTTTTCACTTTGTGGGATGAATCCCAACCAAATGAGCCACACTGGTCAGGGCAATTACCTACTCTTTGTTCTCCAAATTGACTTTTTAAAAAATCAGGCCCCTATACTTGTATATGAGATCATCTGGTATCAAGAATGAACCAATCAGACACAACCTTATTATGCAAGATGACCAATGAGATGCAACTCTGTTATATGACCTATATATTTATGGTTAAGACAGCATTCTCACTGGATGGCTTGTTCTGTTGGCATCTAAGGAAAGAGGAGATCAATGCCCCTGACTAAGTAGTTAGATATTGCATGTTTTAAAAAATCTTGCAGCCCACCAGCTAAAAATCACTGATATATGTTTGAAATAATGATCATGACAGAACCAATGGAACAAAAAAGCCCCTTGCTTGGTTGCAAGGGCAGAGAGGAGAACCAGGAATACATCCCAAGCTAAGAGCAGTTCATAACCCCATGTGGCCCTAGTGAGCAAGTGGATAGTTGTCCTTTCTCCTGAGAGCACAGCAGCTCTCCAAGCCTGCCTGGCAGCAGCAAAATGGAGCACACAGCCAGCCCTGTTGCTGGGAGAATAGAAAGTTGGGGGATGTCACTTCCAAACAGCCAGAGAAGACTCTCTTCACTGCTCCCCAGCTCCTCAGTGGGAGAGAAGGCGCTCCCCTCTTCGGGGCTGCCTCCTAAGCTGTGTCAGGTGCACCAAGCCTGGGGTTGATGACATAAAGCTGCTGGCACCCCCAGTCCAAGTGTCCTGGGTGAACTACCTAAACTTTCTTACAACGGGGTTCCCAGCCCACAAACACCTTTTCTGCCTCTTCCTCTGGCTCCTCTAACCTTCACACAAGTTAGGGTCAAGGTTCATTCTGTACAAGACTCTATCTTCTCTCATCACTTGATCACACTTCCTGTTAGTAGTTACCAACTTTCCACCTCTAGACCCTGAAACCCAGTCCCTCATCTACAGCTGTCTGCTGGCCATTCTTGTTTGGATGTTCTAACTACTACCAAGCTCTCTCCCTCCTCTCCTGGGGGGCACATCCTCCTGGCCAATCAATTAAGGTCATTGGCCTCACTCCTTTCTCAACCCTGAGTAGGTTTTGACCCCATGCTCTCCTTTCCCTCATATCAAGCCCATTAATTCTTCTCTCAGTTTTCTAACTGAATCCATCCCACCTGAACTCAAAGAGCTTTGCACTTGGATCACTGTGATAGCCCTCAACTCATCTCTCCACTTCCAAGATATTCTCCCCACCACCACCATTTCAGCCTGTTGAAGGGTAGCAGAACACACCACCCCGAAATATGCCACGTTAGCCTAAGGTTTACTTTGAGCTGAAGATAACTGAGAAGAAAGAGATATATGAAAAGCTCTCTGCCCTCCCCTTAACTGCCTAAAAGAGGGACCTATATTTGTAAAGGTGACCCCCTCCTCTTTCTACCAGGAAGGCCAGAAGTTAATCACCAGAAACAACTCTAGGTGGAGTTGCTAAAACTTTCCCCATCTACCATTAGTTCCCCCATATATATGCCTCCCCACAACTTGCCATCCTAAATCTCAAAGTCCTTTTCCTTCATCTTATCATTTCTCTTAAAATGTATTGTTCTATATAATCCCAAGTTCTAACCATCCCTTTGAGTGACACCTTGCCAAGTTCTCCCGTGTGTATGTACTTACTTCTGTTTTTTTAACGAACTTCTGTTTTTTTCTTGTTAATCGGTCCCTTGTCACCTAAGTGGTGGGACCCAACTGGTGAACCTAAGATAGGTAAAGAAAAAAAATTTCCTCCTCTAGATTGTACATGGATGGCCACTAAACTAACCTTTTAAAAGTGCTATTTTTTGGTCATTCAACATCTGCTCATAAATCTTCAATATCCACCTGTAGCAATCCCCAGTGCCTGCAAGTGATGAAAGATGACCTAACTGTGGGAATTGGGGTATAAGGCAGCAGAGAAGAGCGGCCCTGCGTGAAGGAATGGAAGAGGACACAGGTTTGCAACCTTTGCTCAAGAGTAGAATCCAAAATCTTTAGTCTGTCATTTAAAAATTTCCCACCAGCTGGTCTCACCCTAAATTTCCAGTTTTATCTGTTACTGCTTGTCTGTTGAGAGCTTCTGATCCAGTGAGACTCAATGTCATTTTTCCCCATGCACAGCCTTCCTCTTATCTTCCCACCATCTGAAGCTCATCCATTCTCGAAGGGCAGTTGAAATCCCACCTGCTCCATGAGCCTGCAGGACAAGCTCCCCCATCCTCTGAGAGCACCTGTCCTTAGGGGTGTCTCGGGGTTTCTTCTCCCAACTAGATAAGGTGCTCACAAGGCAAAATGACAGCAAAGACTGAGAGAAAGACTGCAGAGCAGACAATTTCCAGTGTTAGTGTCTGAAAGGCACTAAGCATCGGCTAAGAAATGGATTCCTGTCATGTACACAACAGCCACCTAGTCCTGAGTAAGGACTGTATCTCCAGGAGGAAATCTGAGCACTTTCATGAACAATCAAGAGGGAGATACAGACCAGGAGCACTCTTGGGCCAGCCGATGGCTTCCACTTTCTTGACCACACAGTTCCCTTCCACCTGACTCACCACTCATGCAGGCCTCATGCAGTGGGGAGGCTGTGTACAGGGGTGGGTTGACTTTGGCCCCATAGGAAAGCAAGAGCTTCACACACTCGATGCTGCCTGAGGCACAGGCATCGCAGAGAGGGGTACTGCCGTCGATGTTCCGGGCGTCCACCTTGTGGGGAGGAAGAAAGAGGTAGGTGTTACAGGGCCAAGGGGAAAATGTGCTTTCTCATCTTGATGTACATTCAACTGAACAAGGACACTTCTTAGTTTTTCTAAGAAGTTCTTAGGTTTTCTAGTACGTGCTAAGGTGCCGTGCCAGGCAGGGGAGTTTATGGATCACAGGAACTTGGGCTGAGATCGCCTGCTAGCCTCCTAAACACAGGCGTCATTCTGTCTGAGGCTCGTTTCTTTCTCAGGCAGGACAACTCAGCTGCACCCTCACCACCACCCCAACACCTAATATGCACAGGGCAGGAAAGGAGAGCTCCAGGTTCCAGCTGAGGCAGGCACGGCATAATGAGGGGCTTTAGTTCCAGTCTCAGCTAAGAGTGCCTAAAACTGCTTAACATGTCCTCTCTAGATGGAAAATCATGGTGAAAGAAAAAGGCAGTTCCCCAGCTGGCAGATTCTGCCTAGAACATGTCCAAATTCGGTTGTTATTTGGGTACATGCTGAAGCTTGTTCCAGTTCTTCTCGAACTGCCTTTACGGCCAAGCTTTGGGCAAGAGTAAGTGGTGCGCTATCTTCTCTTTGCCCTCACCCTGAACCCTGACACCAGCCAGCCCAGCAGTTGTCCACGTCAACTCCCCCAGCCCACAGTGAAACAGCTAGTGATTCTGCCAGCCGGAAAGCACTGGGGGCTGAAATCAGTGTTGCATAAGTACTTACACCAGGAAAAGCAGCAAATTGGATCAGAATCTTATTTTTCTTCCTTTTTACCTTTTTTCCAGAGAGCAGTTTGCCAGCATCCCACTTAGTCATCCTGCTGAGTCCAAACCACAGCTCTTGAACCAAGGCCCACAAGCCCTCCAGAAAGCCTGTGTTTGTGATGGGTATGGTCTGCCACGCCCCCCGCCTAGTACAGAGCATGGCACTTACTCCACCACTTTGCTAAAACTGGCTTCTCTCTGGCCAGCAGTGACCCCTAACAGCCAAGTCCATGATCACACTTACTGTCCTAATGTGCAGTTGACACAGAGACCTCCATGGCCCACCCTGGGTTCCCACCACACCCCATTCTGATTTCCTCCTTCCCTTCCTGCTCAGTCACCTGCAGTGGTTTCTTTACTTCTGGTGCATTTGGAAATCACAAGATGCAAATCCCAAACCCCTTATTTTCCTCTCTCTACACATCCCTTGAGCTGGTCCCATCTATGTCAGTAGCCATAGCCAGACTCATTGGATGTCCTAAAGGGCTGCTCACCTGGGCCCCAGCAGCCAGGAGCAGCTGCACACACTGTGCCTGGCCCTGCAGACTGGCTGCATGTAAGGGTGTGATGGAATCCACCGTGACCTGGTTGACACAGGCACCATTCTCGATCAGCTGCTGCAGCTCCAGGGCCTCACCACGATGGGCAGCCTCGTGCACGGGGGTGCGCTCCACCCAGAAACCTGGAAAAGAAACAGACCTAGTGCTGAGACCATGTCACTTCTATTTAGGTCAAATGAACACATGTACAAGTCCAAGGACACTTGACTAAACCCAGACACTGCATACGATCATGTAATTGGTCTTTGGCGGTACGTAAATGCCTTGCTCACCTCCTTGACTTATCTCCCACACTACCCCACAAATCCTACTCTCCAGTCACACTCGCAGCTCATCGCTGACACTGCTTTGTCATATCTGAGTTTCTTTGTATGTACTCTTCTCTGCTTAAAATGCCCACCTTTGTCCCTACCCTAGTTGTCCAGCCTGCAATCTCCTGTTTAGATACCTACATACTCTACGTGGATCCAGTTAAAATATGTCCTTCTCTGGGAAACACTTCTCCCACACTACTCACACATACACACACATTTACACTATCCCCCTCTTTGCCTGGAAATGCCTTGAAAGTAGGGACCAGGTTTCAGTGACTCAATTTTAGTGGATTCCTCAGGATCTTCTACATACAAAATCATGTCATCTGCAGAGATAGTTTTTCTCTTACTTTCTAATCTGAATGCTTTTATTTCTTTTTCTTGCCTAATTGCCCTGGCTTGAACTTCTAGCACAATGCTGAACAGAAGTCATGAGACCAAACATCCGTGCCTGGTTCCTGGTCATTGAGTGAAAGCTTTGTCTTTCACAATTAAGATGATGATAATGTGGGTTTTTGTAGACGAACTTTATCAAGTTGAGGATGTTCCCTTTTAGTTCTAGTTTGTCGAATGTTTTTTATCATGAGAGTGTGTTAGATTTTGTCAAATACTTTTCCGGCACCAATTGCAATAATTATGCCAGCTTTATTTTCTTAATTCCATCAAAATTGTGTATTATGTTAATTGATTTTCAGATGTTAAACCAATCATGTATTCCTCGGATAAATCCTACTTGCTCATGTTTTATAACCCTTTTTATATCATGCTAGGTTTGGTTTTCTAGTATTCTGTTAAGGATTTTTGTGTCTATGTTCATAAGTGTCATTTTTCTTGTGATTAATGTATGTATCTGGTTTTGGTATTAAGGTAATCCTAGAATGAGTCACGAAGTGTTCTCTCCTCTTCTAAGTTTTGGAGAATTTCTAATTCTTTATGAAGAATTTGTATTTAATCTTTCAATGTTGGGTCAAATTCATCTGTGAGGACATGTGGGCCTGAGCTTTCCTATGTTGTTTTTTAGTTATTATTTCAGTCTTTTCATTTGTTATATTATCTATTCAGGTTTTCTATTTTTTTAGTCTGTTTTGGTAGTTTGTAGGTCGTGCCTTTTTATGAAACTGTCCACTTCACCATGTTATCTAACTTGTTGGCATACAATTTTTTATGGATGGAATTTTGTTCCCCACCCCCAAATTCGAAAGTTGAAGCCCTAACCCCTAGTACCTCAGCATGTGTCTGTATTTAGAGAAAGGGTCTTTACAGAAGTAATTAAGTTAAAGTGAGATCATTAGGGTGGGCCCTGATCAATCTGGCTGGTGTCTTTATATGGAGATGAGATTAGGACACAGAGAGACATTAGAGATGTGCATGAACAGAGGAAAACCATGTGGGGACACAAAGAGAAGGTGACTCTGCAAACCAAGAAGCAAGGCCTCAAGTGAAATCAAACCTGCCAACACCTGGGTCCTGGAATTTCAGCCTCCAGATTGTGAGAAACAAGTGTCTTTTTTTTAAGCCATCTTGTCTGTGGTATTTTGCTATGACAGCCCAAACTGACTAATCCACAGCTGTTCATACTATCCCCTTATAATCCTTTTATTTCTGTAAGGTCCACGACAATGTTCCCTCTTTCATTCTTGATTTTGGTAATTTGTGCCTTCTTTTTCTTTTTTTCTTGTTCAGCTTAGTTAAAGTTTTGTCAATTTTGTTGATCTTTCAAAGTTATTTCTTTCAAAGAAATAACTTTTGATTTTGTGGATATTCTATACTGTTTTCTGGTCTCTATTTCATTAATTTCCCCTCTACTCTTTATTTCTTTCTTTATCCTTGCTTTAGATGTAGCTTTGCCTTTTGCCAGTGTCTCAAGATGGAAGGTCATTGATATGAGATCTTTCTTTAATACAGGTATTTATCACTTAAATTCCTCTAAGAACTGCTTGCGCCACATCTCATTAGTTTTGGTGTGTTGTGTTTTCATTTTTACTCGTCTCAAACTACAATTATTTATTTTTGCATTCCAACTTCATAACATACATGTCCAACAAATATGTTAATAAATAAACAGAGGCACTCTCCTATCCAAAATGGAGTAAAATTCCTCCTCTTCCCTATGCAGTGGCTTACCTCCTCATCACTCTCTACCCATCACCTGCCTTCAACTCTAGAGAATGAGGGGCACGAAACACAGCACTCTGACCTCTTTTTAACCAGTAGTACTCACACTTGAGCACCAGCTTCACCTGGAGGGCTAAGCCCCACCCCCAGAGTTTCTGAGTCAGTAGGTTTCAGGCGGGGCCTGAGAATATGAATTTCAGAGAAGCACTCAGATGATGCCAATGCAGCTGTCTGGGGTCCACACTCCAAGAACCACTGCTTTAGACAATACTTTTCTCTCTGAATATAACCCCTTCTCTCCCCATCTCTGCCTCTTTAACTCACTCCCTCCCCCCCGACCCCTCCACCCTACCTCTCCCTGCTCATCCTAGATAACCTACTTCCACCTTTCTTGTCTGAAATCCAATGGTTATTTTTCCAGGAGGCCTTGCCTGCTCTACAGCCCCCATCCGCTCTGGGTTAGCAGCCCCTCCTTTGGGTCCCCTCTGTAAATGCTGTCTATCTATAGTATTTTACCCACCCCCAGAATTGTACCGATCTTACTCACTAGCCAGAGAACCTATGTGACCGCATGAAATGGGGACTCAATCATGGGGGGTAGGGGAAACAAAGGGAGAGCTGAAGTGCAGAGGAAAATTTAATTCCCACAAAATATATAAGCCAAGCTAATGGGACTTTATACTTACCATCTCAAGAAGGGGCCCAAGTATGTTTCCCAGCAGTACTAATTAGCAGTCACCTGCAGGCCTGTCTTGGGAGGTAACAAAAAGTAGCTTTGCATCACTTTAAAGTTAATCTAGGGAGAGCAACATCCCAAGGGCAGAATGAGAAGTTACAACCCTAAAAGGGAGAGAGCAGGGTAAAGCCCTGGGACTTGTAGCAGAAAGGGAAGTGCAGCTCAGGATGGCTGAGTGCTGGGGAGGCCTGTGGCTGAGCGGTGGGCAGCCTGGCATGGCTCCCACATGTATACATCCAGCAGCTACCTAGAGAGATATGGCATCTTCCACTGTGGTGTACAAAGATGAATAAGATGTGACAATAAGCAGTTTATGGTCATGGGCAAAGAGAATGTGCAAATAATTCAAAACAACATGACAACTGCAATATTGGAAGAATATTTCGAGTTACAGGAACTCAGAAGCAAGATCAACCAAGCATCCAGGGCCAGTCAGGAAAGCATCACAGAAGAGACAGGCTGCAGTGAGTCTGTGACAAGTATCACTTGTTGGCTCTGTATTCCCAGCACCTGGCATAGAATATAGCTCAACAACGATGTTCATATTCCCCCGATTTTTGAATGAATAACTGAATGAATGAATGAATTTGCTAAAAGAAATTATAAAATCAACATAAAAAATTTTAGAAGAAAATCTAATTTTCTTTCTTTATGATAAGTCTGTAGAGGAAATGCAACTTACTGGTAACCAGCAGCAGCGATGGAGGGCAGAGATCAGAAGCAGCAGGTGTGATAACAAAGCAGAGAAAAGAAACTTGTGCACGTCAAAGGGCACGATCAACAGATTGAAAGGCAACCTATGGGATGGGAGAAAATATTTTCAAATCATATATCTGAAGGGGTTAATTTCCAGAATATATAAAGAACTCCAACAACTCAACAACAAAAACAATCTAATTTAAAAATTGACAAAGGGCTTAAATAGATATTTCTCCAAAGAAGATATACAAATGGCCAAGAAGCATATAAAAAGAAGTTCAACATCACTAATCATCAGAGAAATGCAAATCAAAACCACAATGAGATATCACCTCACAGCTATTAGGATGGCTACTATCCAAAAAAAGAAACAAACAAAAAACCAGAAAATAAATGTTAGTGAGGATGTGGAAAAATTGGAATTCTTGTGTATTGCTGAATATGAGATGGTGCAGCCACTATGGAAAAGAATATTCTGGTTCCTCAGAAAATGAAAGATTTTACAGTATGAACAAGGAATTCCACTCCTAGGTATGTGTCCAAAGGGACTAAAATCAGGATATTGAAGAAATATCTGCACCTCCATGTTCACTGCAGAATTATGCATTATGGTCAAAAAGTAGAAGCAACGCATGTATCCACAGATAGATGAATGGATAAAGAAACATGGTTTATCCATATAATGGAATATTATTAAGCCTTAAAAAGGAGGGAAATTCTATCACATGCTACATGAATGAAACTTGAGGACATTATACTAAGTGAAACTTTAAAAGTCACAAAAAGACACTTATATGATTTCACTTGTATAAGTCATCAAATTCATACAGACAGAAAGTAGAATGGTGCTTGCCAGGGGCAGTGGGGAGAGAATGGGCAGTTTAACAGGTGCAGAGTTTCAGTGTTGCATGGAGAAAACATTGTGAACATCTGTGGCATGGCAATGTGGATGTAGTTAACACTACTGAACCGTATACTTAAAACTTAGCATCTTAAAAATTTCTATGTGGTTTTTTTAAACCACAATTAAAACTTTAAAAATTATTTTTTTTATAAGTAACAAAAATATAGAGGAGTCCCTGGGGGTGAGGAGGCTGTCACCTATATCTGGTACCAACCACAGGCTGTCATCAACACAGGACAGTTGGGGGGTGGGGCGGGGAGCGGGTGGAGAATGTGACATCAACAGCCTCTGGTGACTCCAGGAAGGGCTGAGAAGCAAGGGAGGAGAGAATGAGCTGAACATAAAGAATGCAGG